TCATTTTTTAAAGTATGTTTGTTTTATTACTGGAAATACATTTGTGATGAGATTTACATTTTTTAACATGTATGCTTTTTAGATTATTCAGCATGGGGGTATATGCACATAGTTTAATAAGAAAAAATAGTTGCTAAATTGGAAGCCCATTTTTGTGGCTTCTCTTGTCACCTACCTCTCTTGCACAAAAAACCAAAATGTGACATCTGTGATTTGGCCTGGGTTAAAGCTAGCTCCTTAAGCCTCTAAAGATATTATAATACAATTCTCAAGAACTGACACTAGGTCAAATATTTAATGTCATGGAGCTTGAGGGAATGGAAAAAGTTTTCTATTCCCTGCTAGAAATATCCGTGTTCCTATTTTCCATTGGAACAAATCTTCAAAATCTTACAAACCGCACTTACCCAGGAGAAAAAAATATACAATCTGACAGTGCTTATGACAAAAGAAAATCTAATTACATTTCATGAAAACAAGTCTTCATTCAACTCCAACCTTAGAACTGTAGAGATGTGTCATAAAGGAGCTTGTGGAGAAAGGAAACAATACTTTGCTTTGTGTCGTAAATACAACTAAAACTTTTTTTTTTCATGTTTTGGCTCTGCCTCTATATGTCACAGCACCAGGGACATAGTTGTACATTAAAAATATTGGATGGCAAACTGATATTATAAAAGTAATGTTAATAATGAAAATTGAATATAGATTGAATGGGCTTGGCTCAGATCTCCTGGGAGGAAAGAAAAGGAATTAATATAAGGTCTTCGCACAGAGTTTGCACTTTACATTAAGTAAGGTAAAAATGATTTTTATATAATGTTTTACATATTTCAAGCTTTTTCAGTCTACTATGTGGACTATGGATTTCTAGTGATTCAGAGATGACATGAAGTCATATAGGGTAGCATTTATTTCAATAGCATACAGGAGGACTGGAGATATAGCTCAGAAGCACAGCATTTGCCTGGAAAGTGCAAGGTCCTGAGTTCTAGTCCCAGTACTCCCCTCCTCCGCCCACACACATGCAAAAAAAAAAAAAAATGCATACAGGAACTGTATGGGCATGTCATCATAAGGAGGAGGTAAAAGGGAATACTTGAGATGTGATTTTCTGATAAAGTTCAAATATCAGAAGCATTTATATTGCAGTATAAGTTGGGTAAAAGATAGGATTAATGACTGGAAAGGCAGGTTTTATGGTTATGAGAAATTCCAGGTTTTGGGGGCTGGGCTGGAGAGATAGCTCAGTGTAGTAAGTGCTTCCCTGGCAAGCGCAATGTCCTGAGTTTGATCCCTGGTACCATAAAAAAGAAAACAAAAACAAAAAAAAAAAAAAAAAAAGAAAAGAAATTCTAGGTTCCCTCCAAAGAATCTGGAAGTCCCAAAGCCATGAGAAGTTTGGTCCAGTAAGCTAGATGCACATTCAAAGGGTAGGCTGCCCACAACCAAAAGACCAAGCTACAAGCTTTCTTGTTTAAGATTAGCGGGGGAGAACAGAATGAAATCATTAGAGGTGCAGAAAGATACCTAGAGCGAGTGTCATCAACTTATGTGGTCCAGAAGTGGAAGGCGGGGTGAAGGGATGCGCCAGAAGGGAAGCCTTTGAAGATTCCATAGAGGGTCTTGGAACCTGAAAAATGCTTTTGCCAGAGATAGGCCGGGAGCAGGGTGAACAGAAGAGTCTGCTACTTAGAAATCATTATAGTTGGTTCTTACAAGTTTGGCAGGTTCTTGGTACAATTATATAACTACACATACATTTGGCGTACAGAGATGAATTATGTACTATGCATGTAATTACATGTAGCAAAATGTGTACTTTTATTCACAGGGTATTTACATAGTACAGTGAATAGTGTACTTAGAAATAATTAACATAAAGTATTATTTAAAAAACAGAACAATTAAAAGTAGTTTGGTTTTCTTGAGCTCCAAAAAAATAAAAGAATCTGGAATCTTTCTTCTATTTATCCCAGTAGCTGATACCCAACCATTCTGGAAGGCAGACACCAAAGACAAAAGGAATGGTAATTTCCCTCCATTTATTCATAATTCATAATCTTTGATTTAAAGAAAGGGCCTTTTCAAATTTGAAGTGTTTCAAAACTTCTGTCTGATCTTAGAGATTCCCAAATTTAAAACATTTACAAATTCAGTTATCTTGAAAGAATATATGCTTTTGAACTTCTATATTTGTAACATTGAGATTCTCCACATGATTAAAAGTATTTTGTATTTACCATAGATAGCTATATTTTTATGGTTATTTGTGAATAAATCACGTTGTAAGCTTTTAGCATAATATATTATTTCTGCTTACCTGAGATACTTCTTGTTCAAAATTATTCAGAACTACTTCTCATTTGGAGGCAAAAGCTACTCAGAAAATTAAGTTTTTAGGATGAATCTCTCAATTTTTCCTTTGAAATATGTCGTATAGGGTAGAAACTCCCAAATATTTTCTTTTTTCCCCCTCTTTCTTAGTCTTCTTTCCTTGTAGTTTGCTTAAAAGCTCTAGATTGTTCCTCAACTTTTCCTTCAGACAAAGTTTCTAGGTGAAATTTAACTCTATAAATTTATAATACATATGAGAACATAAACACTTTTTTGGCAAGGGATAAAGAATATGGCACTTAATCCTTTATAATACCCTACAGTATATTTTTAAGTCTGGAAGAATTTTTTGATGATTAATTCTCTTAAAGAATTAGGCTAAATATATCAGAACAGTGACTAAATTTGAGTCTTTAGGAAACAACACAATGTATTTTCATTTGGAAGTGATACCAAAGGAAGACCAAGCTACTAAAAATTAATCCACATGGCATTTTGGAGAATTTGCCAGTTTTCCCCTCAGTGTATTTAATGAACTGCATGTGGATGTCAGGGAGAAGAGAATTTACCTATGCAAGAGGGTAAGGGGGAGGGAACTCTGGAAGGTGCTTTACAATTTTCTGTAAGTTACATTGCTGAACATTTTCACAACCTCAGTGTGACAAATTAGATTTTATAAGGCAAAATAAAATGGGTCAACAAATGAAATTTAGGAATTCAGTTACCTTATTTGGTGATAAGCTATATTTCACTGAAAGTAGCAGGAGCAAACACCATTTTGGTCAACCATCCCATCTGATTACTGGGGGCTTGATTTTGAAAGCTGGAGGTGGTAAATCAGTCATATGCTGGGAACTGTGAGCTTTCTTCCTCTAAAGGGGGAGCCAAAATATTAAAAGGGACCAAATGCCTCTGGATTATTTTTCTTGTGCTTTATTCTAAGTAATATCAGTTACATGTCAAGGTGCTTTTTGGTAGTGGGCCAGTTGTCTTGCTAATCAACCCTTTTCTCACGCTGTGTTCTAGGAGGTCATAGGCATTATTCATTATCTTTGTGGGCAGCAGTGAAGCTTTCCCAATTTCTAAATAGTTTATTCTGTAGCCAGTTTTGTCACTATACTGAGATGCTGGAAAGTCCTCTTGAACTTTTCCAATGATGAAGCTGAAAGACAATCTAAAGGAAGAAAAAAGCTTTAGAAATAGACATAATTTGTTGTTATTTTATGTCTGCACTTCGGAGAAAAACGCAGTTAAAGGATTTTTTTTTAAGTTACTCAGCCAAAATAAGTTTTGATCAGTGGTTTGTCTAGCATAATTTTTCTTTTAAAATGGTAACATTTTATATTTCTACAATGTTATCCTAACTTTTTCTCCCTCTGGAGAAAGCAATAAGGCTTGGAAAATGCAAAGCTCTGGTGGAAGAAATCTACTTTATTTAAAGAGGGTTTGACCTTTGGGTCATCCAGTGTGGTATTTCTTTACTAAGTCAGGTTAACATGTAAATAATATTAAATATAACCAGAAACGTAACAAGGGTATTTAATACTCATCAGCTTTATTTCTAAAATATTGCCGTGGATTCAGAACCCTGAATTCCAACCAGATGTACTTCTGGAGTATTACACAGGTCATATATATTTCTTTTTTGGTTCAAACCCAGGGGATCGACACGATAATTAGATTGAGAACATCTGTACCAAATACAAACCATTTCCCTGATCCTTCCCCACGGAAGAATTTTTTTTTTCATTTTTTTTTTTTTTTTGACGTTCCTGAACATTTTATTTGTCTAGCCACCTTTGGGGCAATTCCTACGTCCTGCCTGCCTGCCTGCCTGCCTGCCTGCCGCCGCACAAGTAAGAGCGGAGGATAGACTGGCCCCAGTGTAGGCTGGGGAATAATGGTTAGAAGTGACATTTAGTTGGGACAGGAATGGCTTAAGGTGGCATTGCCTCTTCCTGCCAGGAATCTGGCTCCAGGACAGGGCGTGGCTAGGCACCCGGGCTCTGCGAGCGGGTGGGCATTTGCGCCCGGACCCGAGGGTCGGGGCGCCGCTGCCCTCTACCGGGCGGCGTCGTTCGAGCTGCCGCCGGTCGTCCCGCTCGCAGGCTCGGGAGCCCCACGCTGAGGCAGCGTTTGGCCCCCCAGGGCTTGCAGTGCTCAGCCGGGTGCCAGGGCACAGCATCTTGGCCGGTGGCTGCCGACGGGCCCCAGTCAGACGTCCGTGCGCTCCTACCTATCTTCTTGGTGCGCCTCCCAGAGTCAAAGGTTGGGATGGGGATGGAGAGCCATCCCTTACCGGACCTCAGATGACGTCGGAGGCCACTAACCTCAGTGCAAAACCCAGGGGCACATGTGTTTTTCTAGATCTTAGGGAACTTTCATTTCCAGTCCTTTCATTTTAAATGCTAAAATTCGGTGATCAGCGCTAAACCCTTGATCTCAGCGGAAAAGCAATTATTTTCCACTTACGTTTTTTATTTTGTATTGAATGCAATTTTATTTACATATACTTTTCAGGATTAAGGAATTTATTTTAACTAATTACACGTTAAATAAAGGGCGAGAGTAACAGTATGGAATTCCTACAGGAAAACTCAAACTTGCATGTGTGTAATCAATTAAAGATGACAATCACAAAACGGGTGATTTGGTCAGGTTTCTGTAAAGGAAATCAAAAGAGAATTCATTTTTCGGTTTACATCTTAGCATTACTGTAAACTTGGGGCCACACTTGCTGTTTCAAGCGAGTGCACCCACTTTTCAACTTTCTGCACCCCAAAAGAGTAGAAACCGAGATGTCTGAACCGCAAGAGTTTCTTAGTTTGCGTCGCAAAACCGGACACAAAACTGAGCTAGAAGACTTTTAACTGCCGTGGCCTAAACCGCAGCGGTTCGGGCAAAGGGGGGCTGCGGGGACCCCCGCGCCATCGCCGTTGCTGTGCGCCCTGGTGCAACGCGGGGATTGTTGCTGCCGCTGTGTGGGACACGAACGTCCGCCGCGACCTGGGAGAGCTCTTCTTTCCCCAGCTAGACTCCCGAACCACGAAACGCGGTCCCCAGCCGCGCGCTCCGTGTTCCCGCCCGGGCGCGGCGGGAGCGGACGGAGGTCTCCCGCGGGCAGCGCGCCTCGCACGTGCACTGCTGCCGTGGGCCTGGACCGCGCGGGGTCTAGGCTCAGGCAAGCGGTCGTGGGGCCAGCGTGAGCGAAACGGGCGCGGTCGCTGTTTCCAACTCAGAGCCCCTAAACTGGGGCCCTGAAGGGGTTGCGCTCCTCCACCACTCGCGACCCCCAAGGGCCAGAGCGTGCCCCAGGTGAGCTGGGCCCGGAGCCTCTTTGGGGGCCGGAGCCCTTACCGCGACCCGTAGCGCCCCCTCGGGGCTGGGCGCGGGGCCGCTGCGATTGGGGCTGGGGTGCGGACAGGGGCGGGGGTCGCGGGCCCAACGGTCGCCGCGCTCGGAGGGCGCAGGGCCGCGCGCTCCACGCTGGCCGGCGGGCGCCTCGCCCGAGAACTCCGACTCCGACTCGGGCTCGCCATGGCTGCTGAGGCGACGGCGCTGTGAGGAAGAGTCCGCGTCCGCCGTGGCGGTAGCGGCGGCCGGCTCCAGGCCGGGTTTTGGCGCCGCCCGCCTGCTGCCTCCTGGCGGCTCCTGAACTCCAGCCCCCTCTCTATCAGCCTCTCACTCCGTCTCAATATGTCTCAAGATGGCGGCCAATGTGGGATCGATGTTTCAATATTGGAAGCGCTTTGATTTACAGCAGCTGCAGGTCAGGCTTCTCTGCGCTCGGCCTCGCGCCCGGGGGTGGGGGCTGCGGGCGGTCGCGGCCTCCCCCGGGGACCCCGGGCTGCCCGGACGCCGGGGGGCCGCGGCGGCGGGGAGGAGGGGGTGCCGGGGAGAGCGGGGCCGAGTCGGACACAAGTCTCTCTCGCTCCCCGGACCCCCATTGATAACTCGCTTGATCAGAAATTGATCCTCTTTGTTCAATTCATCGATCAGCCCAAGATGGCGCCGGGAGCCGTCGCCGCCACCGCCGCTGCCCCCGGTGTCT